ATTTCCAGAAATACGAAAACTGCGATATTTTAGTAACTACTGAAGATTATTCACTCAAAATTGATATTTGTAATAATTTTCAGACGACAAATAAGAATATTATAAATTTTTGGAAAATGGGCGTAGCCACGCCCACTTATGGTTACATGTGTATATCTTGGTAACCGCTGCACAGATTTCTTCCAAACTTAGCACAGTTGTTGGCCTTGGTACAGCATACTAAATGGCCGAAAATTAAAAAAATCGGACAATAACCACGCCCACATCCCATATAACGGTAATTTAGAGAAATACAAAATCTTCGATAAATCAGTAACTATTAACGCTAATTTATTCAAAATTGATGCTTGCAACAATTCTTTATCAAGAAATATGTTTATGGTAAAATTTTGGAAAATGGGCGTAGCACCTCCCACTTATGATAACATGTACGTATATCGGTAACCGTTATACCAATTTGTACCAAACTCGGTACGGTTATTGTGCTTGCCACATAAAAGCCAAATATTAAAAATTATTGAATTCAGGCTAAAATTAAGCCGCTTTTCATATAACGGTAAATTTCAGAAATGCTTGAAACTGCAATATTTCGAAATTTAAGGACGCTACTCAAAATTGGTACACCCCGGTTTACCATCTAGCGGTAGCTTTCGGAAAGGTGAAAAAACATATATTTACTACTTGCGCCGGGTATTTAATGTTCGGCTCCGCCCGAACTTAGACTTTCTTACTTGTTTCTATTATGAGTCTCTAGGCTCCTTAATACAGCTTTTAGAGCAAGTAAATGCTTCCAAGTCAAACTTGGGAGAAAAACTCGTTACCAACGTTTATCATTTACCACATCCACTTTATACATAAACGGCTATACATACATATCGTGTTATCCCAGAGGAGTACCGGCCTTGCGCTTTTCTTCTTTCACCAACTTATTCACTTTACATTTATGCACACCAAAAAAAACACAGTTTACAAATTTTCAAATTCTTCCTGTTATTTTCACATTATTTTCTCGTCTCGCAAGTACCTTTTATGTATGTATCTCTATCTGCCAGATACCGACCCAAATAATAACTATGCGTGACTGCACGTCGGCAAATGTCGTCTTTTCAAACACCTATACTTTTATATGGTGCTACTATTTGCGATACTCGGCGCTATATCCGCATGGTACGCCTGGGTGCTCACGAATGCAGCCAAAAAAAAAGTATGGATGGATGGAGTAGAAGGATGGAGCCTGCGCAGTGCAGACAACAAAACTCGTGTACGAAAAGGCATAAGGGTATTAAAGTTGGCATTGTTGTTGTTAAATTGCAGCTACCTACAAAAGTTAGTTGTTGTTGGCCGTTGGCTGCTGCCGCATACTATTTTACTCATTTTACCCACAACGCCCATACCGCCCACTCAAAGTGTGTCGACCCCATTTGTTCGTATTTGTTATAACAGGCTGACTGAATGCCTGGCTGGCTGACAACCCCTGGCACCCAATAGCCAGCAATAAAACATAAAAACCAAGAACAACAGCAACATACATAAATACCGCAGCCGCAACAGTTGCTCGCCATTTTTTCCGTTCGCATTTTTTTCTCTTCGCCATCGGCGGCCATGCTGCCGTGACTGTCTTCGTTGAGTTGGGGGAGCGAAGAGAATTTACGGCGCAGCATTTGAATCGGATTTACTGCGAAATGTGTGCTGCGGAGCACACACACACACCCGGTGGTACGTAGTATTTCCGGCATTTGGTGGTAGTTGTGGTAGCCGTTCGTACATCCAATACAGCCATTGTGGTCATAATGGGAATTTAAACGTATGCGAAAGTATCCTTGTGATCAGAAGGATGTGCGAGCTATTTTGTGCGAATATGAAAGTGGATATTCTTATATACAAACTTAGATGGGCACATAAAGACGTGAAAATATATCCGCCCAGCAAACATTTGGAGTCAGAATATGTTTGCGGGGCGGTAGCAATATATGTATGTATGTATGTAGATATATTAGGCGCTACCACCTCACAAAAAAAATGAAAAAAAGTTTGCCGTACACCTTTCAGTTTAATGGGCCGTATTCTACTTTTCGTACGAATCGAAAATCCTGAAAATTTCCTATAATTTTGTATACAAAAATTTCAAATTTTCGATTCGTACGAAAACCAGAATACGTCTAACCAATTTTTACAAGCCATTTGGGAAAAAACATTTTAATATTTTTCGGTGCCACCTATATTCGCCAATAAATTTTATTTGTAAATATTTCCATTAAAATAATTATTTTGTGCCTTAGCAAAAGTTCAATGATTTTTTGCCAACTTTAATTTACTGACATTAGGGTGGTACGAACGGAGATGTGGCGAGAAATTAATATCGATATATCATTTTTTAAGATCCGACTGTAAATGCCGAAGATATGACGAATAATATAAAAAGGTGATACCTGGGTGAACAAAAAATGAACAAAAAAAATTGAACAAAAAATAAACGTCGCTTGTTCGCGGTTTTCAGGATTTGTGGTGTTGAGCTGACAAAAATGACATTGCTGATAAATGTGAGAATTATTTATAATATATATCGGTAGAGTTACTGAAAGCAAGCAAAGTTTGACGGATTGGCGGACACGTAACTTAACTAAAAAAATTTTACACCTTTGGAGGCTTGTGTTAAGTGACGTTACGTTAAGTCTCCACTAGTTGAGCTTGTTTTGAAGTTACGCTACGCTGCGTCTACTCTAACTACACCTTACGTCGAAGTTTCGATAAACAGAGGAAGCTCGATAGCTCGTAATCCAGAAGAGAGAAGCGAGAGTTAGGTTTTTAAACAAAACATACTAGATTGTAGACCCATCAGTTTGACTTCATTCCTTGTAAAAACGTTCAAGAAATTGCCGACAATCCCATCAGGAACATACGTACACCAAATACTTGGAGAAAGCCTTGGAGAACAAATAATATGATTTTGAAGTATTTTGTGGTCGAAGCTATCAACAATGTCACGAATGATCTTATCTTTCATTGAAACAGTAAGTGCAGACGAAAAAGAAAAGAGAAGAATGAAATGCAGCAAAAGGTAAAGGTAAAGGATCTCCGCTGTCACCGCTCCTGTCGTTATTGATAGTCAATAAATGACTCAAGGAATTCGTTGGTAAAGCACCGAAACTAGTGCGGTCTTTAGAAATAACTCTTAAACTGATAAGCTATTAGTATTCTGGTAAATAATACCTTGATAATCATAGACTAGTGGATATCTTAAGCAGCGCTAGGGTGATCGTAGGCAAAACTTACATGGCTATCTCCATAAGAAGGGATTTTTGAGACCTCCGAAGTTAGGTTCCATCGAAATCACTTTAAAATACTACACAAAGTATGTAGCAGCAGAATTCAATGCTAAAATTATATGTTGAAGTAAGATGACGAAGGCCACTAGTGCTCTATGCGCATACATATTAAATGATGCTGGACGAACTGCTGGTCTTTCGTCTGCTTTGGAGCATTGGCGCTATGTAGCAAAAGTTAAACATATCCAACTTTATGGAAACAAAAAGGAATTCAACTTCAATCAAATGGAAAGCTCAGCATTTCGTGACACCAAAGGAGCCCTGGGAACTACCCTTACAGCTACTCTAAATCCTCACTGAACCGGCCATTGACCTTCTTGCGAAGAACCTGGCTGCCTAATGTGCGAACTGAGTAAAGGCAACAGGGGAATTTAACTGGAGGACCATCGGGCATATCTTAATTGTGAAAAAGAGCGGAGGTAGCATGGAATATAAGCCATCTATTACCTTGTTTATACCTAAGCAAGAACCGCATTAACAAAAAGCTGATTTGACTCAACACATATTCCTTTCAAGCATTTATACCTGTGTCGTTAAGGCGCACTCGCTGAAACCGTATTGAAAAGTAAACAAAATTTGTTATTTTTATTCGATATTTCTTAAATAATTAATTTGCGCGGTGAACCGAAATGGAAGCGAACAAAAATTCAAATTTGTTATAATAATAATTCAAATTTAAAACGGGCTGTATAAAGAAAACCAGCCTTTTTTCACTTCGCGTCAAATGAGTGATGTGTTTATACCTGTTTTCTAACCGATGTGAGAAATAAAAAAGCGATTTGAAACCCACTAGAACCTGAAGGGAGATCTCCCTATGTGAGGAATAAAAGAGTACTCCCCTTAACCTGATTTCTGAGCAATAAGGGAGATTTGTCGGTTTTGTACTCCTTTATTACTCGTTTAGGAATCAAATAGGAGATCTCCTAAGCGAGCGACGAAATAATACTCCCCGAGGCATGATTTGGGAGCAATAAACGAGATTTGTCGGTTTTGTCCTCCTGTATTGCTCGCTTAGGAGCGTAATGAGAGATATCCTAAGCGAGCAATTAAAGAATGCTCCCTGATGCATGATTTGGGAGCAATAAGCGAGATTTGTCGGTTTTGTACTCCGTTATTACTCGTTTAGGATTAAAAAGTGATGTCTGCTAAGCGAGAAATCCAAGAGTCTTCTTTTTGATTGATAGGAGAGCAATACGTACCTCGTTCAAAAGAAATTTTGTGTTTTCGAAAAAATTTATCACAGAAAAAAAACCAACAGAAAATATTTCTTATAGGCGCATAAGGAGGACACAATAATCTAATTTGGATAGCACACAGATTTTAATAAAAGTCCGTTGGTATGTACCTCAACTTTTGTTTAAATATTTTAAGCATTGTATTACTTACAAATATACCGTTAAATACTTTTCAGATTGCGCAAATTAGTGTTTGCATTTAAGTGTGACCCCCGGGTTTAAACATCGCATGGGTGACAAAGATGTCAGATAAGCAAAGTCACCTTCACAATTTCCCCGCTTGGTGGATTCCTGAACAGGCAAGCATCCTTGACAACCAGGAAATCATATACGAGTACATACTTATATGTGCATATCTTATCTTACCGATTTGTTATTATTACGTTTTACTTTCATATGATTTCTCTGCTATATAATTCTAAAATTAAGCAATTATGTAAGACGTATCATTTATGTTTTATCTGATCTCGTACTTATATCTGTTAAGATCTTGTAAAATTAGCACAAATGCACGTGATTAAGAAGTTAAATAAAAAATTTTATAAATAGCAAAATCTATTTGGCTAATTTAAAATGTTCGTTATCATTGGTCTCTTATTACTCCTATAGGAGGCTTTCGGGATGCCTCTAATGGGAGCACTCCCTTATTGCTCGTTCGGAAGGTATATGGGATGTTTTCTATTTGGGAGGTTTCTGGGAGGTAACTATGGGAGTACTCCCGTATTGCTCCATTAGAAGGTTTGTGGGATGATAATTCTGTGTGTGCTCCCCGATTGCTCGTTTAGGAGGTAAAAGGGATTACTCCCCCTCCTAGGACATCCAATGTTAAAGGGAGTATACAAAATTACATGCTTATACACAGAAGCATAGGGAGGAATGGGGAGTATTCGTATACTCCCAAGGGAGTACTCACCGAGCAATCGTACGATGCTCCCAAGTTCTACTGGGAAACAAATTCGAGTCAATACACTTTTGAATTTCTGAACGTATTGAAAGTTGGTTTATGCTTCCGTTTTGAATCAGAGCGAACTGGGTCAAAGCGCTTTATGTGTTGGTATAAACAAGGTATATATTGAACTGGGAAAGAAGATTTCAGACAGCAATCACAGAAGAGGGAGGAAGACGAGAGTCGACCTATAAGGTTGCCTGTTCAGCACAGTAGAATCCGCAGTGTGGAAATCCGGCATATAAAAAATAACTCCAAAGTAGCAGTTACCTGAACATCCTTCGGAGCAGGGAGGACATTGTTAAACTGGCCGTAAGTAGATAGTTACACATCTAATGGGTGAGACTGCCAAGAGCGCTGTTGGTCCGACTTTTCAGTAGGACTTGGCATACAAGAATACTGCTGGAGATTTGTGCATGTGTATGTACTTTGAAGGCATTCACTCGTCATTCGGCCGGCTGGGATCAAACACTCGATTACTCTGCCATTATTTTTGGTCTGGTAGCCGGCCTTTGCCACCTTTAGCTTTTGTTGTTTCGATATATTCACTATTTGTGATATAAACCTACGCAGAAATTGAAATGGCGTACGCATACATTAGGGTAGGCCTTTTTTTTATTACCCATGAGAATAACTTAAATTTGGAAATTTTTTAACTATGCCGTTTATTTTTGGGTAAATTATCTATGTAAGTTTACAATACAATAAACAAATATGTATTTAATATAAAAAACAGTTAGGGGATTCCCTTAAGCTCGAAAGTGGCTCGAAAACCACGAAACCTCGAAACTTTTCCAGCCTCGAAAAACAACTGTCAAAAATTGTATGAGTGGCGATTTTCGCGTGCCTCGAAAACTTTCGAGGCAAATTAGTCGCGAAAAAAGCCTCGAAAAGTCGTTCGTAAGTTTCAGTGTTGCCTTTATATCCGAATATTCTACGAACTTACTAATTAAATAATAAAAAATTAATTAAAAAATATGTAACTATAATACTTACTAAATTAAAAGAAGTACAAAAGTACAAACCGTCACTTGGCCCAAATATTTCGAGCATCATTAAATTGTTGACTGCGTTTTGATCAATAAATTCATACAATTTACATTTTTCACTTTTTCGTGGCATTTTCAATGCTGACTTTATATGTATTTATTTCAGCTGATGCGATGTATTATACAAAAAACTCTGAATGAGCTGTCAAACTTCGGAATTTCTCCATTGTTTACGAGGCTGAAAAAAGGTACATTCCCAAAAACAGCCTCGAAAACTTTCGAGGTTTTCGAGT